GTAGATCTACCCACAGTATATGTTCCATATATAGGTCTATCTCATTCCCCCATCCCCAGAGCCTGGTAACTGTGACTCTGATGTTCACCCAACAATTGGGAGTGTACTGAAATATGATCGAGTTGTCTGTTTTAAAATGCCTTAAAAAGCAAATTGTATGTCTTGGTATTTAACTGTGTTTTTTTAAAAAAGAGCAGTGTATCTTCAAATGTCTTCCTTTTGGCAGAGTGAGCCTGGTCCCTTCCAGGAACTGAAAGGCAGGATGGATGGCCAAAGCAACAGGGGACTGGAGACTCAAAGCCAGCACAACAGTAGGCAGCGGATGGTGGCCAGCACACATGCGTACACTGTGCAAGGCAGAATACCAACTAACCATAATAACAAGTTATTTATTTATTTTTTTGTCTGTCTCTCTTTTTTGTTTCCTGGCAGTGTTGGGTATTTGTTGTTATTGTTGTTGTGTTTCTTACATCTGTGGAGTCTCCTAATATATACATTTCATATAAGTGAAATATTTGCCTCTCTCTGATTTTCTTTACTTAGCAGAATATTTTCAAGTTTCATTCATGCTGAAACATTTACAGCGCCCCGCCCCGTATCTTCCATGGGATTAATACTGTATTTCAGTAGGTATTAAATACACTCTTACCTTGCTCAGAACAACTCTTTTTTTTTTTTTTCTGGTCTTCACATCACTATCTCCCACGCATCCATTGACACTGACCTCAGTGACCACGCCCTCTGAGACCTGGCGCTAGAGGAAGCCATATGCTTTTTAAACCCTGCTTTTTCCTGAACACGGTTTTTATCACCATCTGTAACTACACATCCATTTAGGGATGATTTGATTAATGGCTTTCCACAACTAAAGCCCAAGATACACTAGACAAGGATTCATCCCTAGATTGCTCTCCACACAGGTTATCATAAGGCCCTCCCCCCTCACTACATAGAGGACCCTCCCCAACCTTTGTCACACAAATGTTGAAATGATCTCCTACTATGGAACTGCTTGGCAGCTGCTTAATCTTTTACCCCACCCCGCCCCACCTCATGGTATTTTGCATTTGTATAGAAAGTGTCCTCATGAAGAAATTCCACTTGGGAATTTCCCAGACTTAGAATAAAGGCAAGGCTGTTTGGGGTGAGCTTCTTCCAGCTTTATGACACCTGTGGGCCAGGCTCTCTTAGCCTTTGGTTCACCACACTGACTGAAACACTTAAAGGAGAAACGACTTATTTTGGCTGATGGTGTCCTGGCACATCAGTCAGCTTATGAAAGGGAAGGTAGTTCTAGGCTGGCAGGATGTGATGTCAGCGGTCCTCCCATTTCCTGGGTAAAGACGCAAAGAGCTTGGGACCGGAAGCAGAGTCTTGCAACTCTTAAGGCCCAATCCCAGCAGTCTGTGTCCACTCCTAAAACAATGCCCATTAATTGTGGGCCAGTTGTTCAAACACATACAAATTCATGAGCTTATAGAGGCAGGTCACCTCCAAGTCACACCAGGAGGTTTGGGGGAACTCATTTTGGGTAAAATAAATGCCTATGCTCTGAAGGTACACATTCAGTTAAACACAAACGTGTATCAAGAAACCTAAAACAACAAAAAAAAGTGGTTCTTTGGCCTCAAGGATTGTCAATAGTCTAATTAACTATGCTAATGCAGTAAATTAAAGAGGATTATCTAGCCACAGAAGCATTGGCAGAAGGAGTGCTGGAGGCAAACATTGACAGTTAGATCTAAGTACTTACCACTGATTCAGGTCTTAGTGGTTTGGCTTAATATCAATTACCAAATTGTGAGAATGGTGACTGGAGTCTGATACAGTATATATATATATATATATATATATATATATATATATATATATATATATATATTTTTTTTTTTTTTTTGAACAATATATAAAATCCTGCTTATTCTGGTTAGCATTCAGTGTTTCATAGTGTTCATCTTGTATAGATAGGAAGAGAATAAATTAACCAGGTCAACATCATTATTCACTCACCTTGGGTGTGAGATTTCTTGTAGATTTAAAGTCTGTGGGGTGGAGAGATAGCTCAGCTGGTAAAGCACTTGGCTGGTCAAACATGAAGTTCCAAATCTGATGCTCCAAACCCATGTAAAAACGTGAGGCATGATGGCATACACTGGTAATCCCAGAGTTTGGGAGGCAGAGAGACACAGGAGGATTCCTGGGATTTTATAGCCAGCCAGACTAGCTTACTTTGCTAGCCTCAGGCCAGTGAAAGAAGCTGTATCAGAAATCAAAGCATATATCACCTGAGGGACAATATGCAGGGCTGACCTCTGACCTACACACACACACACACATACACACACACACACACACTCACACACAGAGACAGACAGAGACAGAGAGAAATGGAGAAGAAGAGAGCTATTTAAGATTGGTTTTGGTTGTAAACACGTATTTGTAATGTCTGAAATAGAAGGATCTACTCAAAGATGACTGATTTTGCATTTTGACTATATTAAATTTTGAACTAAGAGTGAGAGCCCAGAACTAACCAATGATGAGTTTATTAAGATAAAAGCCAACCATTACCACCTCTCTACTCTTGCTGGGTCTGCAAATAGCACCCTTCTTCCTCAGTGTAGGTCTTCTTGGACTTTAAAACTTTACTTCTCTGGCCCAAGTGGATGGAGAAACCTAATAGGAAACACATACATACACCTCCACACTCACACACATACACACTCATATACATGTACACACACACATTCACACATACATTCACACATACACACACATACACACACATATACACCGAGATACACACCCACACACACATAGACACTCAGACACACTCAGCAGACACACTCAAGACACACATACCCAGACACATAGACACACTCATACACATACACACACACATGTGTACACACGCATGCACACCCTTGTGCACTCTCGCGCACACACACACACACACCAAACTATTTGCAGGATTAAATATTTCATCCAAGACGAAATAGTTTTCTTACTACTGTTAAATATTAGGCAAATGGCCTTTACAGTTTTCAACTTCCTCCTGTGAAATAATGTTCTCTGAAACAGCTGTGTCTGTTTTAAATATCTTATAGACTGCTTGACCAAGGCTGTACAGAAATCATGGCTATAAAGAGATGAAATGTTGCAAGCTAAGAGCCCAAATTACTTGGGGGAGTACATCTAAGGTCTTTTAACAGCCATTTACTATCAGTCTCTTCTCCTGGCCTGACATTCTTATGACTTTTCCATTAAACTGGAGCAAGTCCCCAAGCATGACATGCTTTCAGCTTTCACCAAACTTAAGCTAAGAAGGTGATTCAGACGATACACAAATTACACAGTTCTCCTCTGAGGGCTAGTCGGCTTGGTGACCCTCCTGTGTGCATTGTAAATACACTGACTCACAACCTCCTTGTCTGTGCCTGTCGTTGTTCTTGGAGGTTTGGATGCGACTTGGATCTGAGTGCCTAGGTTGTGATCACTCATACTTGGTTTGGAATAAAGTATTTTCTTACTTCCTTAAAACAGGCAGAGCTGGTATTTTTCTGTCAATGCTTGAATCCTTAAATTAGAAATGCTATGTTTGATCTATGTTGTCTCTGTTTTACTTTGTATCATTGGTGGTGAAAGTTTTGTTTTGCCGTTTTTGAAATGGAGTCTGACTATATAGTACAGACTGAACTTGTAGTCATAACCTTCCTGATTTAGCCTCCTGAGTGCTGGGATTGTAAGCATGGGCCCCCACCCTAACTTAGTTGGTTGTTTTGAGTATAAAATAAAAATTGTCTTTTTTTTTTGAAAGTGCCAACCTAAAGTTGGAGTGATAAATGGCAGCTCTCCATAATGAATCTTCTTGGACTTCATCATATTCTTGAGAAGAATGTACAGGTGGAATTAGAGAACATTATTTTAAGCAAAAAATGGCAGGCTCAAGAAGACAAGTGCCTCGGGTATATACATGAGTATACATCACGTGTACACGTCAGGCAGGAAAGCAGAGAAGAGCCTATGAGTAGGGAGAAGTCTACAGGGGAACAGGAGGGGTGACTGTATTTTTGTGGCATGAAATCAAGAAAGGTTTGAGGGGAGAATTATTGGGAGGGAGGGGCGGGGGAGGGAACTACAGGACGTGAATAAAAACAAAGTATAATGATACGGATGTACGGGAATGGCATGATGTAAGCTATTTATTTTGTATGTTGAATGAACAATTTTAATTAAAAATTAACAAAAGGGGTGGGGATCCAAGACTATGGTAGGTATTTCTAGTCCAACTTGGGCGGATATGATTATAGATTTATATTCATAGACTCCAGCTGACTCTTTTTTCTACGGCAGGGGACAACAAATGGGTGTGCACACAGTCACTAGATATCCCCTCATGTCTAGACTTAGACAGTGAGGGGGGTTTTCAGATCGGTGGCACACACTTGGTCACTAGATATCCCTTCAATGTCTAGACTTAGACAGTGAGGGGGATTTTGTATCTATGACACTGTACTTTCAGACAGTATAAAAACAGCCTGAGTTCGGGCGTGTACCAGCAATCTCCTGACTCTGAACGAATTAGAAAAAAAAATATACAGAAAACCAAAGACAAACACTGGAAGGAGAAACCACTTTTAGTCCCTCGGCAGCCCTGCCACAGGAGTTGAGTGTCTGTCAGTCCTGGAATGTGGCTTTGGGATCGACAGGTCATCTCATTTACATCCTGTTCTATTCTTTTAATATCTAATCATTCTAATTCTGTTACCTGAGTACCTCCCCCCACCCCCAGCTTACATGGGCATGCTAAGTTTTCTGAAGCTTCCTCTAACATCTAATGCTGTGTCTGGACAGAAACCATTCATTGTCATTTGCTGTATGGGGAATGTAGTAAAAAGAGACCTGTTTAAAGCATCACATTAGAAAACAGGCTTTCATTTATTTTTCCAAGCAAATCCTTTCTTTCATTGTTTTATTTGTCTGTTTGTTTCTTTCTTTGTTTTTCTTGAAGGTGGGATGTCCTTGAATGTTGATGTTGGGAGATTCCACCAGTGAGGCCTTTGGAATTACGAACAATTTCTGTATAAGCCAATGACCAGATCCCAGCTAAATCAGCCTCATGGAGACCTTTCTGCACCCAAACAACCCACGGTAAACTCAGTGGAAATGCTAACAGCATCCAGCACCACTGGCATGGGGCCACAGGGCTTGTAATGGAAGGGTTGTTGGAGTTAGGGAAAGAGCATTTATTAGTTCTGCTTCTTCCTTCTTTTACACACTTCACTGGATTTATTGTCTCACTTTGTCTGGAGAAGAAAAAAAAAAGGGATTTTCAGTCTCAGTGCATCCTTGGAATTTGGGGTTTTAAGTTGCCTAATTGGGACTTGAGGGAGCTCGAAAGGAAGAAGAGCTGACTCCCTCATTAGCTTAATGGCTGCCCTACACTGTTGGGATTGGGCATTATTATAGTTTATTCTCTCTGGGGACTGTGCAGGTGCCTTTTAAAAGTTCAGGTGGACAGGAAGCTCTGTGCAGAGTATACCCCAAGGCAGAGTATTGGCTGACTCTCTTCCGAGCTCTTTTCACTAATAATATGTACGTGTGGAAAAGCACTTGTACCAAGGCCAACCAGGAAACAATTGACTGTGGGCATTAATTAATTGCATGCAGGACAACATGACATTCATTGTACACATGGTGATGATCCTATGTTGTAAAAGAATTAATGACCCATCATGGAGTCAGTCTCAGTCTGCTGGACATCCTTTGTATCTCCTCCCTTCCCCCCCACCCCCAACTCCCATATTGCTGCCATTTTGACCCAGAGTTAGTACTATGCCATTACTGGGGATGGGGTAGGAGTCCAAGTGGTATCTACAGGTCTGTAGGTATGCATGTATGCACCTGAACATGTATGCTTTTCTGTCTACTAATCTAACATCTCTTCACATTTCCACCACAGAAACCAAATGAATTCTCTTGGTCACAGTCTCCTGAGTCTTTCAAACTGAATTCAGTGTCTTACCCTCAGATGTTCAGAGATTTCTAAGGGTTGGCGGTGTTGCTTAGCATTTACCCCGGATCTGCAAGGATCTACATGTCAAGTATTCCTGTGTGATATCTTCATCTTAGTGCAACACAGCCTTCCCGCTTACCATCTTTGCCTCGGTCTCTGTGCACTCTCTAAACCTCACTCCTAACCATTTTATATTTTACCAATAAAATGTCATTTTGCCCAGTTTAATCCCCTTCTGAGAACTGAATTCAGATTTGTGTGATCAAGTTAGTTTCTTATTAGCTTTGTTTTCGTCTGTCTCTGTCCACTAGAACACAAGCCCCAGGGAACCTAGGCTCTTCTCTGCCTTCTTCCCTGCTGTGAACCAACAACAATGCCCAGAACATGGTGGAAATTCAATAAAAGTTTATTCAACAAGTGAATGAATCAACAAAATCCCTGTTGATTCTACCATTCTAACATCTTGCAAACAGTTCTTAAATCCCCTGCTGTTACTGTCTTAGTTCTGGGCACTATAATTTCTCTAATCAGTGGCTGCAGTAGCTTCTAGTGGTTCTAAACACTTCCATCTCACTCCCTGTGAGTCATTATTTCCCTCACAGCCTGGGGTCTTTCTAGCCTGCAAATTGCCTCCTGTCATTGGTCTGCATAAAACTCCTAAATAGCCTTTCCTTACAATCTACTTTTCTGCAAGGGTTGGCCCTTATGCAAGGAGAAGGCTCAGACCTGTAGGTGGAACCTAAAACTATCCACCTCGGTAGAAAATACTTAAACTCTTATTGCGTATCACACAAACGGCTACCAGGAGGTATGAGGATGTCAAAGTCTGGGAACCAAGAATGTTGGTTAAGGTGAGGTAAATGCATTTGGTTAAAGGACCTTTTGACTCTGGTGCCTGTTAAGCAGCCCTCCTCACCTCTTGATTCTCCCACATCCTCTTCCTCTAGCTCAGTTCTGTTCAACACCATCTTCCCTGATCCTGTTCCTGTGAACACCCAAGAAACGTCCGCCTGGGTATTATCACATTTTATTTATTTCTGTACTTCCCATGCTTATGTTGAACTGTGAGGAAGCTGGTGCCCTTATCCACTGTAATCCAAACTTGGCTCAGAGTCTGAGCCTGATACATGTCAGACCTCAGTGAACATCTGTGGAAAGAATTATTGAGGTGATGAGAAGACAGCTCTGTGGTAAAGTGCTTGCCAAGTGAGCACAAGGACCTGTGTTCAATCTAAAGCACCAACATAAAAATTCTGGGTTTGTTGGTATGCTTATAATTTTAGACCTGGGAAAATAGAGACAGGAGGATACCTAGGCTTGTTCATCCTCCAAACTAGCTAAATTGGTGATTTTCGGGCTTAATGAGAGACCTTGTCTCAAAAATTATGGTGGATCCCAGCATGATGGCATATACCCTTAATCCCAACACCGAGGAAGCAGAGAGAGATAAATTTGGTCTGGTCTATAGTGGGAGTTCTGGGACAGCCAGGGCTCCATAGAGAGACTGTTTCAAATAATAGCAAAAGCACCCTAAGAAATAAAACAAAAAATGTAAGAGGAAGAAGAGGAGGAGAAGAAGAAGAGAAAAAGAAAAGATAAAAGGAAATTAAAGTAGATAGCAATTAAAGAAGATATCTGATATGAGCCTCTAGTCTTCTCATTCAATATACTGACATGTGCATACACACATGTACAAAAACACATACGGAAATAGAGAGTTGTAGAGCAAACAAATGGATTACCAACTGTTTTAAATAAGTGCTCATTTAAAACTTTAAGGAGTTTGATATCTGAGAATAATTGATATCCTATTTTAGTAACCCCTTCCCCTAACCTTTATCCCTTCCATCTCAATACATATATTCAAAAGAAATCCATTAAGGACTAACCTTACTGATTAAGAGTTAAAAACTTATCTCATACCTGGGACTAATGCTCTGATCTATATTTGATAAGACATAAATGTCAAGGTAATATTGCCATCTAGAAAGCACACAGGAATTTAATACTTCCTTCAAAACCTTCAGAGGGATATTAAACCCACATTTAAGGAGATACCAACCTGGCTATTGTATTGTCTTAGAAATCAGTTTGCTCATTCAACTGTGTCTTCCATTCCTAACAATTTAGTATAAAATGCTACAGCTTGGACTATGGCATTCAGCTGGGTTTTATTCCAGTGACCAGCTACCTTTAAGGGAAAGACTATTTTTAAAGAAAAGAACATCTCGGCTCTTAAGACTTCAACGTATCTTGGAACTACTTTAGCTAAAATCACAAATCTTCTATACATGTTTGGTTTCCCATTCTGCATGACAGATGTTCCACAGGAAACCTTTCGCATGTGAAATTGGTCTAGGGAGGAATGCAGTTCACTCATTAAAAGTTCTGAGTGGGGAGCCGAGGGAAAACAAAGAGGAGAATGAAACAGCCAGAGAGGCTCTGGCCCCAAGGCCATCCCTGTGCGTCTGACTGGAGTAATTGACAGGATATTGAAGTTAAGCAGCTGTGAGGCGGGCCTCTGAGAGCTTGTAGTCCCTAACCAGCTCTGACATGGATATGTAAGCCAATACTGCTTGGCCAACTGTATGGCTGAGCAACAGCCAGCGTAGCTTTCTTTATACAGTACAGATGCAAATCAAGTCTAGACCAGTGATTCTCAGCCTTCCTAATGCATAGACCCTTTAATACAGTTCTTCATGCTGTGGAGACCCCCAACCATAAAATTATTTTCATTGCTTCTTCATACCTGTGATTTTGCTACTGTTAGGAGCTGTAATGTGAATATCTGATATGCAGGATACGTGATAACCAACCTCTGTGGGTTCTCGACCCACAGGTTAAGAACTGTGTATTGAAATCACTTCATCAAGGCTAACAATGAATTCTTTCTCAGCTAGCCCAGCTCTTGCTGGCTTAGCAGGTGGCCTTCATTACGAATGGGCAGGGAGTGACAGGGTATAGTTAACAGGAGATTAATTATTTAGAACATTTCTAAGCTTGCTACAGTTTCAAGCCGGCAGAGCTTAAAAGAGGGGACTGTATATATTTTATTGTAAATTAATCATGACAATCTCTTTTCTCCTTGGTATTGCGGAAGGTTGGAGCAATGTGTTTCTTTATTGTTGCAATGGTCTGGAATCGTTATTTTCACTTCAGATTGCCAAATTGCACCGCAGGATCACAGCCTGCAACTAATACACTCCCGGTGCCATACACGTCTCTCTCTCTCTCTTTCTCTCTAGTCCCCAAATGACGATGAAGCTACTTGGATGTGACCTTCTTCCAGACACATAAAGCGTCTTTATTTTACACTACATTTTCAGAGCAGGCTTTAAAAGTGTTTTGAAGGCGTATAAAACTGCACTTTATAAAGAGAAAGATGGGCATATAGGAAGGTATGCACATAAACAGGTAAACAGAAAACATAGCTTTGTATAAAATCTGATGCTTTCTTTCAACCAGGCAGATTTGTGAATTTGAACCCGTCAAGCTTGATCAGCATTTAATTATATTAATGCCTCCTCTAACACACACTATCTAGTCCTCTAAGTTATAGGGTTGTGACTCAATTTGCACACTGCATCTGGGTATGTGTAGTTGAGACGAATTAGTCCAAAAATATTCACTAGTGCCAGCACAGTGATTTTTGTTCACTAACCTATTTTGTGACGGTAACCTGTAAATCCACAGAAATTAAGTGCATCGTAAGGGAATCTTTTCCAAGACTGAGGTTATTAGCTAACATCCTTGGTTGAGAATCCCGTCCCCAGATATCCTGATGGTCAGCAGAGAGCTGGCTGCTGACGTAGCATCAGTGATCTGCACACTAGAGCCCTGAAGGACAGACCCAACCGCTCCATTTTATTATCTCATTCTGGAGAGAGGGTACCTGATGTGATTTTAAAAAAGAAAGAGAAAGAATATGTTCTGTGGAGGTGTGTGGAGAGGTATGGGGGAAGGGGATGTCTCAGCGGGCCCATGTCAAGGCATTTCTTCCCCCTGAGGGACCAGCCATAAAGGGAAGGGGGAAAGGGGTGAGGGGACAGGGAGAAGCAAGAGGCAAGAGAGGAGCAAGAGAGAGGGAAGGGGGTAAGCAGCCCCTTTTATAGGGTCAGGTCTACCTGGCTGTTGCCAGGTAACTGTGGGGGTGGAGTTTAGACAGAATGCTAACAGTACCCTCCAGTTTACATTTGCTGAATGCTTGCTCCTTGTAACTGTGAAATGAGGTTCCCACAAATTCCGTCACCCCAAACATCAGTTCTTAACTGCTTTCTACAGGAAACAAAGCCAGGAGTATGCAGTGAGTAGCCTCTGAGGTCGCCTCTCCTCCACCTCTTCTGACTCCGCAGCACAGTCCCGCTAAGAGTGTAGCTCTTGTAATTTGTAAAGGTCTTAGCATTGGGAGACAACAATTCATGCTTTTAGCTTTAATTGGTAAATCTCACACCTACACCCGTGTTTCCTTTTTCATGAGTTGCCTTTTTATTGTGTTTCTTTCAATTGCAAATACTTTCCATGAAATGTTTTCAATCTCGTATAGATGGCTTCCACGTTCACGCTCTGAGGTTTCTTGCACCCTAAATTTCTTTCCTCCCAACGTTCCTTTTCCTTCTTAGAGTCTCATGCTATTTTACATTTTGCTGATAAGCAGTTTGTGTAATTAATAACCTTACCTCCCTATGTATGAGGAAAACAAATTTAGTGCATTTTAATAAGGAAGTCGGAAGGACAAGGAGACATTTTATTGCCAGGTTGACGTTGATAAGACCAGAAATAAGCTGGTCTCTCAGAGACTACACATAATCAGTCCTATTTGTATACACAGTTTTATTACTTTTGGTGGCAGAGCTTCAATATTTCTTGTGAGTATATTTATGAACAGCTGTACAGTTTAGAATTCTTTAATAAGCCGCTCTCACTCGATAACACACTGGTTTTTAAAGTCACTTCATCTTTATGCCTGATCTTAATCTTGTGTTTGTAGTTCTCACTGAAGGAAAAAAAAAAGGCACTATTTTCTTAGCTGCTCTGGGTAGAGGTGGGGGTGTAGAAGATTGGGAGGGTTTCTAGAAAGATTATTTCGGCCTCATCCAGTCATATATTCTACAACTTTAGCTTTTACACTATTGAAACGGGGAAGATTTCCTCATCATAAAAAAACCAACCAACCAAACAACCAAACAAATAAGCAGACAAAAAAAAACAAAAAACAAAAAAAAAAAAAC